CTACACACACACACACACACACACACACACACACACACACACACACACACACACACACTTTGTATACATTTTTTTGTATATGCATAATTCATAATATGGACGGCAAGAATTATATCAACAAATAGTCAATTTAGAGCTTTTGGTGGAAAAATTTCCATATTGAGATAGATTTTGTAAACGATTGAAAATCTATAAAAATGATATTAAAAAAACATGACGCGTTAAATCGACAGATACAGATTTCGAAAACTGTAACCAATTTCATAATCGACATTTGTCTATCGGTAAGGCTTCTCGCTAAAGTGAAATCGATTTGTCGAGAATGTCTCTTCACCCCTGACAAGTTCGCTCCATTAAACGCAAAAGGGTTAGCGTTAATGAACGAGCGTTATCATATCTATGACAGGATAATTGATATACGTTCACTGTTATCTACCTGCAATTTTCACAGCCCGAGTCCATTAATCGTTCTTTCAATTTAGATTATAATTTTTTTTCTCCTGAGCTTAAAACGTTATTCACGTGATACATAAAAGTGAGCCTGGCGACAACTACCAATTATATTTTCATCACAGATTTACAATTTATCTGTTCGCATACTCGGTTTTATTATTCGCGTCAATTATTATTTTTGAAAAAAAAAGAAAAAAAAACATTGCGATATCATGGAGATGCCTTTATAAATTCATTCATTCATCATTTTTATTGTGAATAATAAACTTTTGTGTCAGGCGTTCAAACGCATGAAACTTGTTAGCATTTTAATTTATTGTATCTCTATATAAATATCTTCTCTTTTAAAAAAATTTGATATAATTTATTATAATTTTATTATATTTTTATATAAAAAGTTTTCCTTTTATTTGAGAGATTCTTCGAGGCCTTGCATTTCATAAACTGTCGCTACATTTCGATTATAACGATTGCTATTTCGATTGTTGAAAGTTTCGCGTAATTAGCAAATTGCAGTCCTATCTAAGGTATGCCGCAATCATAGTTCGAAACTCGACAGTCCATTGATTAATTTTCCATACTGGTAACTGTAGGTACCAACGTAGGTAGAGCTTTGCACAAGGCCGCGCGGTAGAAAGCTCGTGTTGCGTTAATTCTCACGAAGACACGCGCTTTCTATGTTTCACAAATCGATTTTCCACGGCGAGCAAAACGATCGATGTAACAGGCAATAGCGATTCAACAATGGCCATAATCCACGTAGCTGATTTTGTCTAATCGCGAAAAAAATCTCTTAAGAAAAAATTAGATAAGTATTGCTTTATCTACGTACAATTATAATTGTTACATTTATTACTTATTATCGCATAACCGTATATACTATATATACCTTTTATGACAAGAAGCTGTCGGCGTTAATTTTCCTGGTGATGAAATGACGAATACACAATTTGCCTAACGTAGAAAGTGACGCGAGTAACGAAAATGTCGAATAATGAGGGTCAAAGTGAATTCACAATAATGTTATTCGTGATTGGAAAATTACCTATGTCAGTCTATACGTACGCCTTCGGCCTAGGTTGATTCCTAAGAGGCTATCGTGTGCTTTCCTTCGGTGCTTGCAAAGTGGCCGTCAACGTTACGTGATGTGCGGCGCTCCCAAGAAGAGCGTCAGTTTGTTATTTCAACAAAGGGTGAAATCACTGTGTGGCGCACGTAACTATCCATGAATCTCCTATGTTAACAATCGCAGTGTTTTGCCACGGAAAGTGGCCGCGAGGTGTTCTTGGTAGCCCCTTCCCCTCGCGTATTTCGCTTCATCGTACGTATACCAAAGTCTAATTAAGTTTCTTAATTAACGCATCTCGCGCAAGCAGCGAAACGGAGTGCCTGTCCATCTTGCGCCCGAGAGGAGCGCGGAAAAGTGGATGAACTTTTTTTGTTCCGCTGCACAGCATCAGCGCGACGTCGAGGAGGGACGAAAAGGGATGGAAACAGGATGAGGATGTATTTGTCTAAGTTACTCTGCCGTAGCACCTGTTAACTCGAATAATAGCGGCGATTACGTGCTTCGTTAGCAAATTGCTGACGGACAATTACGTATTACTTTACTTGCGTATTATAATTTTACTTGCGTATTATATTTATTATTATTTATCGCATGATCGTGCATCATTTTTTACGTCGAAAAGCTTTCGACGTAAAAAATGATGCACGATCATACGATAAATAATAATTCCGCCAGCAAAGCAAAAAGTGGGTTTAATATTTTTTTTTTTTTATAAAAAAAAGTATTATTCGAAATCCGGGAAGTTAAACTTACTATTAAACCTATCGTGAAGCCACCCAAGGTGGGAGGTTCTGCACTATGACTATGATAAATTATACAGTGGTGACTATTGATTTCACCGCGGCTAAGGTCAGACGCTACGGCAAAATCGAGTTTAAAGTAACCATTGGTCAGCGAACAAATTCAATCTTCTTGCTCCAAATAACAGAGTCCTTGTTACATCTGTCTTGCACCTCGAAAAACTCTCGTCCCTAATTTGCTCCGACGGAAAAAGTCTTCGGGCAAATACGTCGATTTGATGTAACCAAAGAAGATCGGTGTAGAATCAAGAAGTGCGTTAAGAAGCCCGTCAATCAAGTGTAAGGACGTCATATCGATCGGTGAAATAAAGAATACACCGTTTTATCAAATTTGACCCTTTTTTTGTTTTAAATTCAATCTTATCCTCATCCCCATATAAATCTCTAATATCTATTTTAGAAGAAGGATTCAGGACAAGATGAAAGATGCCTACTACGTTTGCGACTTTCTTGCTAGCGGCCGATAAATCTTTACGTGCGACAACGCGTTATATTGATTTATTTCCGCCGGCAATAACCGTAAAGTTAGCGCGACACTTCGTGCAGATGTTTATCTCGGCTGTTACGACGGAAATGGCAAGACGGTTCCTCGGTAGACGGGAAAAATATTTCCTACGCTATCTAAAAGTATCTTTTGAAACGACAACAAATTCGGGAATATATTCGTATAGTTTCGTTTCGCAGAAACGATTCTTTTATTTCTCCTGAAACCTGAAGTTGCAGTTTTAAATTACGGTTCGCTTTTCGTCTATATATGTACATATATATGAAAAAAAACGTGCAAGGACAACTTAACATTTTGAACTTATCACATTATCTCGCGTACGTGACACGTATCTAAATCATATACTGGCAACCGAAGAGACGAGGAACGTCCAAGTATTTTTATCTGTACATTTATACACGTCATGTTGCACAATAACGTATCCTTATTCTTTATTACTCAATATTTTATATATCACGGAGCTTTACATAATCCGGATCGATTTTGCATTGCTCCGCTACTTTGAATCGTTCGATCGCGACTGTTGCTACTCAAAACTTTTTAGATTACTGTAGCTTCGTTTAAATGCACGAATAAATACACCTTTAATCTTGTATCGCGTAGCACCTCTAAATTCGAAGTATTTTAAAGTTTTAAATAAAGTAAAGTGTTATAAAGTTTTTTTTCAATTGAAAAAAATTGTTTTCAATTGAAAAAAGAAATTTAGAGATTACTACGCGATACATGCTTAAGGATGCAGTTGTCAGGCCAAAAAGATCTGTGATTATCGGCAAGCAAAATTAAAAATCAATGCTTACCGTCCTTCCTGTAGTAAAGGATCTCGAAGTGTTTTTCGACGCCAGCGGCAAGGGCGTCTCGCAGGGCCGCGACCGCATGCGGCGATGTCATTGGTCCATGGAGGAAGTCGCAGACCGCTGGTCGCTGCATCACCTCGGCCCTTGAAAAGCCCGTCAGCCGGCAGAAACCGTCCGAGCAGTAGATAATGTGGCATAGTCCCTGTTGCGCATTCGCTACTAAAAAGCTTCGATCTGCAACAGAAAATATCGAGGGTGTCTTTGAATCGATCAACAATGATAAATTATCGACAATGATAAATTACTTCGCCCCATTGATTTAACCCGCGCAGATCTCGCGAGAGAAAGCAGATACGAAGAATGTTCCTAATAATAGTGAGTAGCGCAGTAGCTTCGTTAAATCTACCGAGACTTCAATAGCTCATTAAGATACAGTAGCTGTAACGTGTTCCCGGCGTGCCTAAATTTAATCACATTCGCCGTAAGCCTATACAAGATGGACGCTTCGCTCGTTAACAATAATCCGGGAGCGCCCTGGCATTTATATTTATCGCTCGCGCTCGGTGCAAATTAATGCAAATGCGACCATGCCGCCCGTACATATACAGCTACCACTAACCAACTAAGAAACGTATCTCGCAACATAGTTTCTCCTTAGCAAGTAGCCGTTTCTCTCATTCGACGACCGCTCGATACTGAGCAAATCTATCGTACGCTATACGAGAAATTCACGCGTCATTTCTCGCGCCGCTGGAGTTTTATTCTCATAATAGAAACTGATAAATGTGAACATTAGTCAGAGATTCATGATCGATGATTCGAGATTGAGACCGTCATAGCAACGGCGGATGGCGGATGGCGGATGGCGGATTCGCTCTCGAAGAGCGTCCGCGCGACGACCTTCGTCCTAAATCCGGCGACAGTCTGAAAGTGCACACCATAAAATATTCTCGTTCCGCGGCCATTAAGGCCGTCTACCACGCGACTGTGAGCCGAATAGTCGTCGGCATATTCCGAGACGGCGCGGGTCTCTCTACGTGCCTCGTCGAAAGAGACGCGAATTATCCGAGATGCCAAGCGGAGGGCGGTGTGGGAGGGGGGGGGAGGGGGCCTGGGGAGCCACCCCGTCTTTGAATCTTCCCACGGGGCGGACTTGATCGACTTTATTTCCTGTTGACAAACCGGAATACGGAGCGTCAACTGGCGACGCCGCAACGTCGACGCCGATGCCGACGCCGACGCCGACGCCGACATCGCAGTCATTCCAAGAATTTATATCGAACGCATATGACTCACTCTCGAGTAGTTATACGAAGCTTTGCAAATGACTTTCTACATAGAAACGCTTTCGGGATACTCTGACTTTTGTTGGCCGACAACGTTTACGGACAAATAAAGTTGAAATAGGGACGTATTGTATGTCTTAAAATGTAAGACTTCTAAATTTCTCTCTAATATATTGAAAAATATTATGTATACATTTCTTCTTATTTCACTCTGTCCCTAATATAAAGTTTGCTAACGAAAAGGAATTTTTATAGATTTTAATTGAAGAAGACTAGAGGGGCTAGAAGGACTAATTAAAACGAGACGAGAATGTACGGTAACGTTTCTAGTAAGGCGCCTTTCTAGAGCTTTTCAAGACGAGCTCTAGTGCTTTTCTGTAAACGCGAGTCAAATAATGACTCACGCATACACGAGATTGATGCGAGAATTTTTTTTTCAGTCGTGAGTTTTCTATTCTCCCAACGTGACGGACATTTATTTTGGTTTTACGCGGAAATTTCTGGCATATTTTGTGCACTTGCCAAAATATCATGCGGATGCGCGCTTTCTATGCGGAATTAATTACGAACGTTTTGCGGAGGCGTTTACGGATACTTACGGAAATATTTCGACGGGGTTTAGAGCGCGATATCGAGATATTAATATGCGACCGTTTTCAAGTGCATCTCAAGTCCTAGGCGTTACCGCGCACCAGAATCCGACAGAAATGTCAGTCGTGCCGAGCGTCGAACTGCTTTGCATACCAGAGGCGCCGCCACGCCGGCGGCCGGTGTGCCCTCCATATTCTATCGTGTTACGTACCTGAGCATTCTGCGAAGGACAATCGGGCTTAATGAAGCCGGGATGAATTGAAAATACGACGGAGCGCGCGCGCGCGTGGTGCGCGGCGTAAGGTTTAATCAGCGTCGTTTTTATCTGCGAACAACCGTCACTTTGCGCGTTTGCGTGACTGACTTCTTTCGCCTCCTGTGTTTGCGGTTACGGATTATTTCTTATTGAATTAACCCGCAGATCGGGCTCCGCACGTTGTCGTGACCTTTTTCTTTGATGAGAGATGTGCAGGGAGAATGTGCAACCGCGTTAACGCGGACTGATCAAGTGCGAAATTCAATTTTTAACGTTAATTAAATAAACTTTATCATATCGTCACGCGCATTGGCGTAACGTTGTGCTAATATATATTATCCAAAATGACATGGTATACCGTGGAGGAGATAGTTTTTAATAAAGTATGTTCGTAATAATGAGAGCTCCGGGTTGAATTGCACGCGGGCGGCGTGCAAGATTAAAATTTCCCATATCCCGAATCTCCCTCTATCTCGCGATTCTCGCGCATGGAAATCGCATGGAAAAGCGGACTTAATAGAATATCTTATCACACTATAATAATTAAGTCGAAATGTGATACGCTTTCTAGCGACAGACGTGATGTATCGATTGTAAGGCGTCGCAGTTTTCGCTAGGTCACTATTAAAGATATCCGAGTGGATTAATTATTAATCGCTGTCGCATTTCTCCTTTTACGTCGATTGTCCGTAACTTCGTGCCTTCGGAGAAGCGATCGTCTCGCACGATAAGGCTAATTAATATTACGAGGCACGTTTGGAATCCAATCATTTTGAATATTGCGTGACTAGGCTCTCTTAGCCGATGCTTGCTAGATACAACACGATATTACGTTACATCAAAATGCTACTCGACGTGCAGTTTTGATTTCATGCCATTCAAGAAATTCCTCGATAATCGTTACTATCAACACACCTCTTAATTAAGACCTACTAAGATTGATATTTAATATCAATCGTATCATCGTATATCATCGTATATCGCGCGACATTGAATTCTATCACAGATGGGATAATATATATATCTCCATATAATTATTCAATTTTACATTTTGGAATAATTTTATAACGGTATTATTTCATTTTCTCGATCAGTTTGAAACAAGAAGGCCGCCAGGTGCGGCTGAATAGCCGCCGTAGAGTGATCTGGATAAAGGATTTACGACTACGAGAGAAACTTGCTCGGGAACATGACTTCAAGCGGCACGAGCAGCATTTTAATCGTGATTAATACTATTTACTCCCCTCTCCCCTTCATCCCCTTCAACTAACGGAGAAGCATTGTTCGTCATCATATAGGTGAGATTGATCACTCGCATTTTTCCATCATAATGCAATAAAATTGCGCGGAAGCGATCATAAGTTCGCGGATTATGTCAATTATGTCAAAGAGACATCTAGACTCGAGTTCTAAAATTATATCTTAAATTATATTACTTAAATTATATCTTAAATTATATTATGCTGTCAGTTTTCATCATTTTTACTCTTATGCACAAAAGCGAATGAAAATAAATAAAATTCGTTTTTCTCTATTTTACGTTTTATATACGCGAATTACGTTAACGAAAAAAAAAATCTTAGAAAAATAAGATAACAGGATAAAACGTGACGAAGCTACGTTACCAAAAAAAAAAAAATGTAATTATAGATGCAGCGATCCGTTTGTATGTTTCATTTCGAGCGTCATATTTCTCTCGTTACATCGCATTATCGCATTTCGATACGCACCGAGTATATAGCTCGGTAGCCACTCTCAAATATGTATGAATGTAATTAGAAGAGCACTTTGCGAGAATGAATTACGTCCTCACCATTACAAATGTAATCGAAACCTCGCGTTATCATTCATCAACGCGGTCGTGTATCCCTCCAGGTTCTCCGAGCACGCAATTGTAACTTTATCGCCGATTGGGAAAACAATTTTTTTTTCCTCCGACTCTTCCTCGACCGAGGATTCTCGCCGCTGTCAAAAGGGATCGCGAGGAAAATCCACGGCGCAGTGAAATCTTTGCGATAACTGCGGATATCCTCGCGAGGGGAAATTCGCTTCAACGAGCCGATTTCAAATGGGTATTTAATAGCAATGGAAAATGAGCGGGAAAATACAAAGGTAAAGGGAGTCTAGACGCGTTCTAGACATCTTTTTACGCGGCCCATCGTGGCAAATTTATCGACTAGAAATAGAATTCGCCGACTTTGCATCGCGACAGGGTTGTTGTGGCCCTTTGCCAAGGATGTCACTTAGCTGTAGAGGCTACCTCGTAGACTGCGCTCCTTCGACATACTGACCGCTCGAGCCCTTGTTTCTTTGAATCGCAAACTCGATCAAGAATAGCTTGCAGTCTCGCGCACGTTTCTCTCTCATCTTAATTCTTTCAGTAGCATATTTTGGTCAATTCAAAACCAGTCTTTTCTTCGTACAAACATCGCTATAAAAGTTATAGTCGTAAAATCAAACAAAAAATCGATAAAAATCGGTGATCGTCTCTTTGATTGTCTGCAACCTTCTTTTTTTTTTTTTTTTTTTTTGACTAAGACGCTGCTACTCGTCGTTGCGTTTTGTCAAATCGTTCCGCTCAACGGGGGACACCGGCGAAGAATGCAGCTCGCATTCGGTGCCAAGAACGCATTTGCGTTATATGTTCACGGCACAGAAGAAAATAGAAGTTCTACGAAAGAACGACAACTTTAAGATCTGCGAGATGTAACTCAGCCATCGGAATATTTCGGGCGCCTGCGTCATTAAGCGTGGAACATAAAATTATCATGAAAGTTAACGAAGGGACAACACGTCGATCGCATTTTCGTAAAATCGGTTACAATAAAACTGTAACGGTTTTGTTATAAACAACGGCAGTGCGTCAATCACCGTGTTTTAATGCGAAAATTGGCGCCTTTATCATCAATATTTCATTGGCATGTGCATGAAATTGATTCAAGATTCGTATCGAACGCGCGATTTCGTTTTACGCGGAAATCAGTTTATTTTGATCCCGCGGAGAATCGCGAATACCAATCGACGATACGACGATAGCTCGACATTAAACCACCGACTTTCGTCGAAGGAAAATAAGCCGGGAGCCGGTTTGGCGTCTGATA